AATTTTTTTTATTTTTAGCATTGAGCAATACTTTTATGTAGATCGGCCCAACATTGAGTTGGACTATCGGCCCACCGGGACAAGTCCCGGTATCCCGATAGGCCAATCCGCCCCTGCCCCCTTCGAGTGTGTACGATAGAAATCCAATAGAAATCAAAGCGATGATCTATTGTAAATCAAGTACACACATTGTGTTTTTTTTATTTGTGTCTAATAAAGATTGTTTTCATAGTGTGTTAAACCTTGAGTCTAGTCTGTTTATTCCTTAACTTAGACTCAGTCAGAATCATTCTGTGATAACCATATCTTGAATTTCATGTTTGTGGGACTTATCCGATATAGTTCAAAAGTATTTTCAGTTCACCACACATTTAAAACTTCAAGTTATGCTTTATTAAAAGTAACTTTACGTGAATTGTCAGTTAACCTTCTACAACATAGATTAATTCATCAGATATAAGTCATTGAATAAATACGATGAGATAGAATTAATGTATTTTAATTACTTAACAAATCTGTACAGTCGTATACATAGTCTTAGCCATTGTCTTTAAACATTTCTCTGTTTTCAAACACTAATTTCTGCAGCATGTGCAGTACTTTTAACAGTAAATTTATATTTAATAATAATGCCCTTGAATATTTTGAAATGATTAAAGTCAAACTCATGGCAGAATAAACGGTTACCCCTTCCTTAGAAGTAAGACTAATGTAATCTTCAGTCATTTACTTTCTCTTCTTGTGCTTTTTGTGCTCTAATGATTGTAATGAATCAATTTATTTCTCCAGAATAAAATCGATCGTAAGTCTAAGATATATATGTATATATCTGGGTGTTAAAATAGTTATACTTCTACAGTGACTATTATGGTATATATACATATAGTTTGTGGTAACATCATGCGAAGTTCTTACTGACAAATGACAATTTAACTTTTACGTATTCTACTAATGATTGAATATTAATAAACTCTTTTTCAGGATTACTTTGTAGTACTTCTCTCACCTTGTGAGCCAGATACTACCACGAAGATGATCTTACAAGTCCCTATGTGGGCTCAAAGAGTCATCTTTATTCAGGGCTCGGCACTAAAAGATGCGGACCTCACTCGAGCTAGGTGAGTTATTTATCCTCCTCTAAATTTTTCCCTCACTCGATATAGACGAGACATAGATCATTCGCCTAAACTCTCCGCTTATGCAAACAAACAAAACTGAATTCATGAAGTATTTCTATATGATACAAAAGATTATTAGGAGCAGGTTATTTCTAACGTCGGATTTTTATGACATTGATGTATGGTGACTCTAGTCATTCATAGTTCTTAGAACCAGAGACTATTATTAAATCCCATTTTCTTTTTAGTTAAAAAGTAATCTAAACGATTGGTTAAAGTTGAAATATTGTTCTAAGCCTCTTTTCACGACATTTTTGGCTAATAATTTTTTCCTAAGCACTATTAAGCTGTTCTCTAACGTTATTCGCCTAAGTAAAGAGATATGTAATCCATTTTGTTGTAGCTTATCAGTTTATATTACATTATTTTATACTGGTAAGTAGACAATACACTTTACTGTACGTTCTGAGTTTTAGTATAGTAGTTTTCACAAAGATCAAAAGAGAATTATTTGTTAGAAAAGACTGGAAAGCCTATACAGACTTTAAGGAACAATATATTTCTAATAACAATCTGTCATACGTTACAGGATGAATGCAGCAGAAGCTTGTTTCATCCTCACTGGAAGGAACTACGCTGACCGGAGTGCAGCCGTAAGATTTCAGTAGAACTTTTTATATCGGATTAAAGACAAATTCCGACATTAATGAAAAATGTAAAAAAAAAAGAATTACAATAAAGACAAATTCCGACATTAATGAAAAATGTAAAAAAAAAGAATTACCCTAAAGACAAATTCCGACATTAATGTAAAATGTAAAAAAAAAGAATTACCATAAAGACAATTTCCGACATTAATGAAAAATGTAAAAAAAAGAAGAATTACCATAAAGACAAATTTCGACATCAATGAAAAATGTAAAAAATAGAATTACCATAAAGACAATTTCCGACATTAATGAAAAATGTAAAAAAAAGAAGAATTACCATAAAGACAAATTTCGACATCAATGAAAAATGTAAAAAAAAAGAATTACAATAAAGACAAATTCCGACATCAATGAAAAAATGTAAAATAAAAGAAAGACAAATTCCGACATTAATGTAAAATGTAAAAAAAATGAATTACCTTAAACAAGAGGGAGTTGTTTCTGAATCACGTTATTCGTCGAAATAAATAAAAAAGACAGACATAAACCAACCAAACAACAACGAATATTAGTGCTCCTATTTTAACAAATTGAAACTAAATATCATCAAAACAATTTATTTTTATCTAAATTTATGGGCACAAAAATGACTTAGTTTCTGTAAAAAATTAAAAATACTGAGAATTTTGGTGTTTTTACTTGATACAAATAAATCGCATAAAATAAAATAAAATTGATAAGTTACAAAACAAGAAACCTGAAAATCCGCTTTTCGAAAAGCATAACTTCCTATTCACCCCTAAAGAAAGAAGGTCTTCTAATTGAAAGGGCTCGAATTATCTGGTTTCTGATTTTGGGTTCTTTCTAATATTAAGAGAAGTTAAATTGGACGAGAAAACTTTTTTTTTTCTGTATTAGTTTTGGCTAATACAATAACAATTATATTTTTATAATTTATCATAAGGACCAGCACACCATCCTTAGGTCTTGGGCTGTGAGGGACTTTGCTCCAAACGTGCCACAGTATGTTCAAATCTTCCGTCCAGAAAATAAAGTACATGTAGCATTTGCAGGTTCGTCTCAAAATATGTATCTCTAAAGTACTTTTAGTAGTAATATCTATGGCAAAATATGTATTTCTAAAGTACTTTTAGTAGTAATATCTAAGGCAAAATATGTATTTCTAAAGTACTTTTAGTAGTAATATCTAAGGCAAAATATGTATCTCTAAAGTACTTTTAGTAGTAATATCTAAGGCAAAATATGTATCTCTAAAGTACTTTTAGTAGTAATATCTATGGCAAAATATGTATCTCTAAAGTACTTTTAGCAGTAATATCTAAGGCAAAATATGTATCTCTAAAGTACTTTTAGCAGTAATATCTATGGCAAAATATGTATTTCTAAAGTACTTTTAGTAGTAATATCTAAGGCAAAATATGTATCTCTAAAGTACTTTTAGTAGTAATATCTAAGGCAAAATATGTATCTCTAAAGTACTTTAGAAATACATATTTTGCCTTAGATATTACTAC